GACTAGTGTTGTCCGAAAGCTCTGGTTATATTTCTGGCTGTTTACACCTCCTCCATACCCGTCCAGCTCTTCCGTTTTTCTCCTGCATTTTCTCCCACATTCTTCATACATTCGAATTCTATGAGGCCTACTCCCTCTATGCACATTCAGCACTTTTCACTGCTCTTCATATTATTCGTGTCAACATTCTCTTGTTAGACATTACTCCGCACACTTCTCAAATACCCAACCAGCTCCAATTACAGTATTTAAAAAAAAGTGATGACGATTGCATACTGAAATAATTATACAGTAAAAATGACATTAGGACTGCAATAAGTTGATTTTTATTAATTTATTTTCATAATACTAATAATAGCAGTCAAATTATTTATAATAATGATAATAATAATAATATAATAACAATAATAATAACATTGATTATAGTAATGTAATTATTGAACTATTCGCCTTTTATTTCACTTTTTTCAATATCAATATACCATGTAAGATCTCTCGTGTAAGATGACCCCCCCCCCCACCAATAATTTTGTTGTGTAAAAGGACCCAATGCATTATCCTTATAAACGACGGTGTGCCTCGCATCAACTTTAGCGATATATAGAATAATTTCCACTAATGGTCGCTTTCATTTCATCACAAATTTATTTTCGCGCAATATTTATTTTCGATCAAAATTTACGATTTATTTTTCTTATTGGTCTGCGCGACGATTTACGGTATATTAATATTACATGTTACAATTATATGCCTAAGGAGGCGCGTATATAAGTACATGATTTGTAAATACAGGTCTCCCTATAATTAAAGACCCCTCAAATTATAAACCACTTTTTTGTGGTCCAAAATTAACAAATATCTGTTATCTTTATTATTCTAATTAGAGACCAAAGCTGTTAAAGACCATGGACCGGAAACCCCGGCGGTCCCAAAAGTGGTCTCTAATTGGAGGGTGGCTTGTACATACACGGACCCTATTCTGTGATAAATTGACGGTCTCTTTTAAACACACAACTGTCAGAGAAAGATAGTCAAAGAGAGTGCAACACTCCCCGCTGTGGTTTCGTTTACGCTGGTTTTCCACTAGGCGAATTTATTCGCGCGAATCAAAGCGTCGGTTCGCTTCCTGAGCTCTGATTTGTTGCGCATTTATTCGCTTCGCAAAAATTCCGATAGAATGCGCATGCGCATGAACCGACGCTTCCGATTCGCGCGAATAAATTCGCCTAGTGAAAAACAGGCTTAAGGCTTACCAAGAAGCAATATCATGAACTAACATCAATTACTATTAAGTGCATTATTTAACACGTAAATCTACACCTATAAGGAATGTAAAGGAAAATGAGTGAAACCCAATATTATTTTTCCCAGTGGGCCAAATTTCTAACAACGTCTTTCCTTATCATGAGTTTCTAAAAATATCTAAGCTAATATTAAATTTATTTTGAAATTTAATAAATAAATAGTTTTACTCATAAATTAACAGGTTGAGTAGCACACGTAATGCAGTGTCTCCTTAGCAATTTATATTTAGAAAATTAATATCTTACCAGAAATAGATAGAAAGAAACCGTATATAAATTCCCAATTATAAATACTATTAACAGTCTTATTGATAAACTTATGTTGCAGTAGTTAAATATAAATAAGTGTAATAAAGATTATATTTTCCTTATAAAGAATACAAATACGATTATAAAAATATCTATTAGGCCTATTCATTCAAACACCATTGATCTTTATAATATATAAGAAATATAAAACTACACATAACGTAGTTTACTATATGAAATGTATTCATCAATTACAATTTATATAATTAGCACCAAAGATACTAAGAGGAAATGTTTGAATAGCACCACTCATTTTGTCACGTGACATTTGCATCCGATCTATTGCACCAGGTAGAGCAATTTATACGGTGAGAAAGTTTAGTACTATAAGCGTAAAATGCAAAGGCAGCACTTTAACGATTAGGGGAAATTTCTTGACAGGCCAATATGTTTTCTTGCGCACATGTGTGGATTTCTTCATCAAATACCTGCGTGACTTGCACAGGACCCTATATAGGCCACGTCATGTACCACCATCTGTTTGCCGCTCGTCTTAAAATTTTTGTATACAGAAATGGTAAAAGGTTTAACTGTCAGCTCTCCCCGACGGGTGGCCCTGGCCCCCGACCCCCCGCTGGCGCCACCCCTGGCTGTGAGTTGTTGAAGCTCGACGAATGTGGCCTGCCACTATAAAACCATCACCAGCTGTGGTCGTTCACCAAGCCTCTCAACTGGTTTGTATATATTACGATTATTATCGATTTATGCATTAAAAGTAAGGCCTATCCTGCCAAGCGTTGCGCTCATCGTCTTCACATTCTGGCCTAACAATTTTAGGTTTAGTGCTCCTCCTTCTCCTTATATGAGTGTCGATGCGGTCGACGATCGACGGCCGATACTTGAGCTTGATTCGTCGTGGCATTGTGGGAGACGAGCTCTCTGACTCGTTACCCTCTGGGAGAATCTCCGACGTACTCTGACCTATTTCAAGTTTAGGACGTTTGTTCTTACGTTTAATTTTCCCCCATTTGTTTGTTCGGTTAGGTTTAGGCAAGGTATTATTGTCTGAGACTGGAGTCGATATTTCAGATTCTGTTTCGAAGTTGTACATTGGGTTCAACTGTAGCTCATGCAAGTACAGCTGCGTTCTTCCTGAAGAGATACTGTTGGTTTCTAGGTTAATTTCACTGAGTGATAGGTGACGGTTAGTACCAAAATCTACAGACTTATCTTTCTTTTTAGTTATGTCGGTTGCTGCCAAAATATGAAATAATGTGTACACTCGATGCGAGATCATAGCTAGGAACTGAATTATTAGTATAATCAGAAACAGAACAAAAAAGGCGAACTGGAATGGTTCAATGGTAGCTGGGTCGCCATTTGATCTTTTCAGACTTCCAAGCGGTATAGCAAACAATTCACTTTGAAGTTCCAGGAAGAATATAATGATAATCCAACAGGCGTTGAGCATGAAGAAAGCAAAGCATGCTTTATTACGAAGTTCCTTGAGTCTGTTGGCAATGGCTTCTTGCATTTGCTTGTCTTCTTCAATAGGATGAAGGTACTTAGAGACAAGTTCCTGCCAGAATTCCACCTCTTCTGTATCGATGGTTCGGATGTTGGCCCATGCTAATGCGGCTGCATTCATCCATGTTGGTTTTTCGTCGTGGTTTTTGTCATCAAATGGTTCGTGATCATAATCTGGCTCTGGAATCTCTATATCTGTAGCCATTATGAATGCTGACTTCTCCGATGGTTCGTCAGAAATGTCGTCTGTTTGAGTAGCACCATCTGATGTGATTGGTTTACCGACTTGCTCTTCAGGTCTGCTGTTGTCCACTGTAACCCTAAGTGCCTCTGCCAAGGATAAATAGTGTTTGTCGTCATCTGATGGGTTCAAACAGCATGCACACTTGAATAAAGATCCACATCCACATGTGATAGAGCCATCAAATCCAACCTCTATATCAGTTCCGAAGATACCATTTTTGACTTTCTCTCTCACTTCAATCTGCTCCTGCTGTATCTCTGCTTTTGACTTCCTCTTTGGAACTTCACGTGTTCCCCAGGACACAATGTTCAGGTTACTCAGTGAGTAGATCACAAGAAGAACATATCCCGACGGGATTGCCAAAAAGTGAAGAACACCGAACAAGATGTTTCCAACTTCTTGGGGGTGGAGAAGTGCGGCCAGTAAATATATGGACACAAGACCGATCATACACAGCACTTCTGGACTATACAAGCCAGCCTCCAGACCGTTTCCGCTAAGGGATACCACCACTGCCAACATCTGCAAAGCGTACACCGTACTCATGATTTTTGCCACGAACAGTTGCGTAGCTGTTTTGCTGGTGAAACAAATGATGATATAGAAAAACGGTGGCAGGATGGCTATAGCGTAAGAGAAATACTTGTTTTCCATATTGAAAGCAAAGGCAGTGGATTTAGCGATCAAAATAGCCACAGTTGCTGGGCCAATAACTGATGAGGCCATAAGCACTATCTGGTAAATAATAAACGGCATCGATATACTCTGGTTTACTTTAGCTGTCCGTGATCCGTCCGATAGAATATCCATTGTGTTGGCTAAGGTAGAAGGCATCCAGCGACGTCGTTGGTTGTAAAACTCTTCGAACTCTTCTGGTGCATATGTCAGAGCGTCTGCGGCGGCACAATACTCGACGCGCCATCCTTGTTGTAGAAGTAATGTGCAAAGCCAACGATCCTCACCTGTGTAAAACATAAAATAAATTTCACATAATTAATGTTAACACAAGCTTAATTTATAGATTGCTACGAAATAAGCATTTATAAAATATATATAATGATAAACTAGTTATTATCACCATCACCAACCTACAGACCCAATTTACAATTTAAAACGTAATAAGAAAGTTTACCTTGATCGTACTGCACATAATGCTCAGCTTTTTCAGACCTGGTGGCGTACTTCCTCATCACGTTGTCGTCCATAAGGGCAGAGGCACGGAACAAGCTGAAACATCCTGGACTACAGAGTACACAACCCAAAACGTGCTCAGCAGTTTTTTGAAACCAATGCCCAGTAGCATATTCGAACTTTTGATACCAAACCAGTGGTCCTATACAAATAAAGGTAGTCTAACTCGAATCAATATTCGAGATATTGTCACATGTTCATATTTATAATAATAAAATTACAATGACAGTACCGGCCATTACCTGCTGTATATGTTTACTTTAGTAATCAAGTGAGAAAAGTGTCAATTATGATCGTATCAATAATTGAGTTTTAAGTACATACATAGACATTTTGTTTTATTAAGATGGTATGACCATATAAGGCAAATGTCCCCAGCAAGAGACCCAAGACGGATACAAGACTGTAAAACACAAGGAAAAGACCAGTAGGAAAGCCAAGAATTCGATGGCAGGACGGAATTAGAAAGATCATCACAAAATCAGAAATAAATAAATGAAGCAGGTGACCTATGCCAAGATCGTGCTGTTTGGTGACCGTTTGTCAGAAAGTTTTAACCGAGAGACTAATGACAGGTCTGAAGAGAAGACATGCATAGAAATTGTTCACGATTAATTAAAATTGTACCTGATCCAATAGGATGAATCCGACCACATGCTGCCCCCACTGATCTGTTCCTCTTCATAAGATCTAGTAACCTCTGGACAGCATCTGGCTTGAAGTCAATGTCGCCATCAAGAGCTAGGATGTAGGAGTTGTGAGTTTTAACTTCAATCAGTCTTTCATTTCCTTCTTGTTGTCCAACCAGTATCCATCCCAGCAAATAATACATGTACATGACCTAAACGTAGTATACTTATATTAGGCTAGAAATACAGCAGAAACACAAGTAGGAACCACCTTTGTGGTGGTAGAAAATAATATGGTTTCTTTAATGCACATGTGGGAAAAGTGCGGCGACAATGAATTAAAAACCCTATGTTTGCGGCCCACCAATCAAAAATGGCTAGAAAACACTATGTTTCTTACGACCCGACACCAATAATATGTAAAAAGTATAACATTAAAACTGAGAATAAAGGTGATGTAAAAGTAGTGATTTTAGGTTTTTGGAAGGTCACTGGAACATCAAAGTTTGGTGCGCCCCTCGGTGTTAAATCAAAAGTTCACTTTGGCCCTCCGACCGATTTTTATGCCAACCCCTGTTTTAATGGAATCATCTATTACAAAGCGACTCTATTGTAATGCTCCAGAAAATAAAAAATGTCTCATGTTTTTTTTTATAATGTTTACTAAAACATAAATAGACATGAACATAATCAAAATGCTGTCTCTTATACACATCTAGATGTGTATAAGAGACAGTTATAATTTCAAGACTTCTAGATACGCCACTGACTAGGATTGAAAAGAAAGTTTGCTAACCAACAAGTTTTAGTCAAACTCACCTGACTCCAACGTTTCCTGTGTCTAATTTTAGCTTTGTTTTTTAAATGGACGATTAATTTGTTGCCGCATGGTAGGGTCCATATCATCCTGCCCCCGTAAGGTGTGTCCAAGATGGAAGGTGGTCTGACTTCAATGTATTCCTGCTTCTTACGGACAGATCTGTTTTGGAATTCAATGGAAGGGTCAGTGATAGTGATCAGTATATTGCTTACATATCCAACAGTAAGTTGATCGGCAATTGCAGAAGATGCTTATAAACAAGACAAACATACACACAGGCTGTTCTACATAATATCAATTAAGTACTGACAGGAATTGAACCAAGGACATCTCCACCAAGCTGCAACTCACACACAATGATCGATCGATATACTGTATGCCATCAATATAAATAAATAAATCAATCAATATAAAACATGGCAAATGCAAAATCATGGCTAAACTGACTAATGGACTGAAGTTATTGCTGGATTTCTGTGCCCATGGGCACGAGTTTATGTGCTTACCTGGCTGCCGCTGACACACACTCTAGTAGTGTCTGAACAAACGCGTTTATCTCCGGATTATCGTCATCGTCATATATAAACGCGTCATCGAAGAATATATGGGCTTCAAACTGATAATAATCTTTGGGCTTTTTACCAGTTATATCATAGTAGTCCTGAAGTCGCTTTTGATCGATATCTAATCTATAAAAATGAACGAACAGAAAATATTATGTTAAAGTCGGTTTATCATGAAATAGAACTAACTGTTTGGTTTTTCTTTGTACCTGTACTTCTAATTACAAGGAGAAACCCTAATATGATGACTGATTATAATTTTGAGTGAGTACAGTTTCTACAGCTGTATGTCGTGTTGTTTGTGTTGCTGCTACAGTAGCAAACAAAAACAAAAACAAATAAGATAAACTATAAATAATAAGTTGATATAAATACTAAATAAGTAATATGAAAATTGTTTATATAAAAGGGAGTCAAAATAAATTAATTTAAATATGATAAAATAATATTCTTATTATTTATATAATTGTTATTATGATGTATTGATATTATTGTGCTTTACTTTTCTGTACTCTAGGAAGCTAAATTTATTAACATTACTGGATCCCAACCCACCTGCAAATACTTTTCAACATTTGTGTCATTTCGTTCTTCGTCTCATGCCACATTGTTGCGCAGAGATAAATCATTGTGTTCACATCATCATCTTCGTAGATGACGTCAGGCTCCTGGTCAATTTCTTGGTCGTGGGGCTTGTTGACCATATCTTCCTCGATCACCGGTCTGCGGTTCAACATCAGACCTTGGTCAATCAAACCGGCGCTGTACGTTGGTTGTATCAACAGCTTAACTGTTGATTCCATCCTCCTGTTAAAATAAGGTTTACGTAAGTTTGAATATGTAATTTTATTCTATTGTTACAAGTCTAGTTGGGCTTAATATTGTTATATGAATGTGTAAACTAATGTAAAAAAAAGATCCAACATTCAAAATACGACAATATAGTGTTGTATGAAGTTTCGAGAGGACATTATGATTCGCGATATTTTTTACACATGCAAATTTTCACGGTAAATAGCTCTCCTCGTACCATTATTATTGTTTTTTATTATTAATATTATTATATATTGGTAATAGCTGTAAAACAACTTACCTATTGCGGTTAAACCACACGCTACTCGATATCCAGAGTTGCGAATACCACAAGGCAATTGGAATCAGACGCCAGTAAACGTGTTCATCTGATGGACAAGTCCAAGGATATTCATCAACCAGATCTTCTCTGAGATAACATGGCATCAGCGTCACTGCCAAACTGACCGGAGTCGCGAGAGCCAGTGGTAACGCAAAGCCAACGCGTTGAATCATCGTCTGGCAGGATATAATAGAGAATTGATAGCAGAGGTACGCCGCGCAGATCTGTATGGCGAGCCAGTATTTTAGCTCCAGTGGACCCGCTTCCAACATATCCGGCGTGCATTTATATATTGTCCATTTGTTGTTGACAGAAAGGAAGAGAAAACTGAATCCTACGATACAAGCAGATTTCCATAAACTAATGCCGACGTATGTCTTGCATCTTGCGCGTCTCAGCTCATTTTTGAAATCAAGCAATGGAAGTGTCCACCACAAGAAACGAACATTACACGTTACGTATGTTTCCCACCACCGGAATGATATCAGAAACATCGACAGTGGCAACTCCCATTTAGTTCCAGTGTAACCTGGTGTCCAGGGAATCGCTATCAAGGGAGCTAGCTGGAAGATGATCGTTACCAGGAAGGTGAACAGTTTCTTTAGGATCTTAAAAGCTCTGTGTGAGTCGTAGTCGTCGTTGAAGAAGGTTTTCATCAGACCGGGTATGATACACACTCCACCCATCAGTCCAATGGCCAACTCTATTGAAGTATATGGAAGCACTCTGAAGACGAACAGGGTGAGACCTATACAGTGTAGAGTCTCGATGATGCATACCTAATATATTTTAATAACAAAAATGCGTTAACAGTAGATGGAAAAGTTTAATGGTAATCAAAATGTCGGACTCATGACAGAGTAGTAAAAGAGGCTTAGGAAGATGGAAGGTGTCTACAGCTTAGAGAAACATTTACCAAAGATAGAAGTGCCCTTGACAATGAGTGGAGTTCCTTAATACAGTTTTGGGGCTGTAACCCCACTCGGTTATTATGCGCAAGATCGAGGATGCAGGGCCTCCCGTAACCTATCCTCGGTACAATATCCAGACAAATCATAACGTATTTAGTTATCCTTCTTTTATAAATTTGTGTTTGAAATTTAGTATTCTGTATGGTAACGAAGGAATGGTAGATACAAATTAAATCAAATAGTATAGCAGTGTCAAATGAGAATGAATTGTATTTTTGGCTTGTAGATAAATACATAACGGTCCAAAGCAAAGGTTACATTAGGAGGGAAACAAACAACGTTTCTGTTTTATTTGAAGTAATAAGACAATAAGACAAAATACAAAATGATAAGTTACATAACAAACCTTGAAAAACAGAGGGAGACTGGGTGCCTTTAAAATGCCAAAAACACTCTTGATTGTGTTATGGATAAACGTCAGTATCTCTGGCACGGCAAGAGCAATTATTGCGTAGTATTCAATTGAAAACCTATCACAGTCTTCCTCCACCTTCTCGTCGGTAACCGTTCCGCTCGTGTCCTCAACAATTGTATTGTTTTCATTGTTTTCGAAACTTCCGACTAATATTATAAACGAAATTTTACTACTAACGGCTGTTATAAGTACAAGTGTGAATAAAGTCATATAGGAGAGAATTTTGGTGAAAAAGATACAGGAGTTTAGACATTTGTTTTTCTTTGGTTCATATCCACGTCTAGGACGCAAGAGGGCTCTGTCCCAACGTTTCGTTGAAGTTGTGTCATTGCCAGTGCTGCAGAAAGAATGGAATATAATCGTTTATATAAAATAATTTATTACTTACAATTTTAAAACAAATATTAAACCACCACCAGCATAGTTCACGATGCACGTGGATATTTGTGGGAGCGTGGTGGTAGATTCGTGCGCAGATTTTAGATACTTCTCTAGATTGACAATAACAGTATTAATCCCTATGAGGCGCCGAGTGTTATTATTTACTAAAACTATTCACGGATTTGCTTTATATATTTCAATATTGGCCTATTTGCTAATCAAATTTTTTAAAATAGGCCAAATTTACTCATTTTGTAAGAATGCTCTACATGTATATATATAATTTTGAATTATTTACTTGTTTGTGCCATTATTTATAAATAGGCATAACGTGTACGTAGTTAAGTACCTTTTAAAATATTATTTTGAAACAAAAGCATTTTTTTAGGAAGCGTATTAATTATCAGCCCTATTTTTGATAATACAAAACCGTGAATAGTGTTAGTAAATATTGGACAGCCGGCCCCTCACATCTCCGACCACAAAAGAGCGTGTAATATCCATGTAATTAATAATAATAATAATAATAATAATAATAATAATAATAATAATAATAATAATAATAATAATAGTGTAGTTTTATATAGTAAGAGACAAGTTATACAAACACACACATATAACGTTTACCATTTCCCCAAAAATATTGGTTTTGGTTATTAAGTAATGACGTGACCCATATTAGACCTATCCTTCTACAAAAAAATAGCTACACCATGACAAGTTTTACTGTAACCTACATAACAAAAAGAAATCGTGATGGTTAATAGTTAAAGCACACAACCAACATGACACGATTATAAGAAAAAAATTGAGTTCAGTTTTGTTAACACCACTTCCAACAAGCAAAGTGTACAATCGCAGTGATTTAGAACCATGTTCGGTGGAATATGGCGTATGCTCGCCATTTTGAAAATGGCGGGTAGGTAGGATAGCGGAAGATAGGTAGATATAATAGCAAGACGCTAGGCTCGGTGGCGGCAGTGGAAACGATGGACAGAGGAACACACCTGCTACCAACCGTACTGAAGTGCACGGAGCCATCGTAGCCGGATTCAGATACTCCACGTGAATAAGAACCCTTCTCTGATGGTGCCGAGTTCAATTTCTTCTCAGCACTTCTGTGTAGATAAAGTACGTGTCTTAACATTGTTTGTCCACAAATTGTTGATCTTTGACTTATTTACTTAAATCATGTTGTTAACGGCGTAAAGTTGAACATATTGTATATCCGTAAGAATGTGAACGATAAGTTTGACAAATAATAAGAGACAACCCTCGTGGTGTAATCATTTCATATTATTGGCATTAATTTGTTTCTTTTAAGGAACAATTTTGGTAAAATCTGATTTTAAAAAAATTGTCCATGAAATTGACCAATTGAACGTTTAATATACCTAAGAGATGGAGCTAGATCAGAGGCCAAATTATTGGTAAAATCTCAAGTACTATTGACACATACGATTTTCTTATTAATTGAGAGAAACTTTATCTAAAGTGTATGTATGCAATGTGTTATGAAACGTTAGGGTTAAAACAAAGCATATCGTTTATTCTAACTTAAGTTATACTTACGCTATACTAATACCGGAATCAGCGTATCCTGCGAAAGACTCGGTAAACGGAGAAGTTGGACGAGGTGCTTCGGTTGGAGGATGGGTGTTGATGGGTCTAAAGTCAATATCTGTTGCTGGAATCTCGTCTTTTTGCCGCTTATCCCTGTTTTGAAAAGAAGGAGAGAAGCTTCCTTTACGTAACAATCCATTGACTAGTTCCATAATTGTCTTTAGCTTTATTATAGTACCAACACTAAGCAGTTAAAAAAATTACTGAGGATCCCATATCGTGTTCGGGTTAATGAGTGCATATTTAGGGCAATGCTCGATGGGCCGTAGCATATCCTAATCACATACTTGTGTTAAAATTATCCCATTAATACCACTATGATACCTTTTAGCGGCAAAGCCAATCAGAATGCAGCAATTTAAATTATTCCGATTAATTACCTAGTTTCTTTTAAAAAATTATAAATAATTTATCAATTGTCCAAACAAAACCGCTTTGAAGTATCATAAAGACAGACGAATCAAAACAAATCAAGGTTAATTACCTCAATAAGATAAGTCTAAAGAATAATACTTATATTAGAGCACTTAATATAGGCCCTAGCTGGAAGTTTCCTAGGTGACAATCTCGAATTCATTGATATTTGTATTATTATGGACGAATTAGCTAAATAGTTTGTATTCTGCGATCACAATGACAATCGTCTGAATGGGATTTGACCGCATTGTACTCGGATCTTTTTCGCACCTTTTGAAAACAATATTGAGGTCAGAGTTGGATTTAGTATTTGAAGTGTGTTCAGAGACAAATATGGATTTACGTAAATGATGTTTATGAATCGATTGAATACAATAATTTAATCACAAACAGTGACATATTAAATTGGAGTTCATTAATAATATGGAATACGGTTCGAGTACAGGACCACGTTAGGGTTAAGCTATTGTTGTCATTATCGCATTCGGATGACTTAAAGGAGCCTGCTGCACTGTTGATAAAAAACGGCTATCATCATCATCATTATCATCATTTTCAATATAATTTTACATAATACTAAAAACCACTTTTTTGTATGCCTGGTGGCGCGAGTGACAATCGAGGACCATAAGGTCCGAAAGGGCTGACTCCATGACCGCGAGAGGAAGGTTTTCAGGTGTTCCCTTATATATCATAGGGGCCAGAGGATATGCTTTCCTGGAAGCTTTGGATTTTTTTTTGGTCATTTTAATATCTTGCCTAACCCATTTCACACTTGGTTAGTAATTTCTCGGCTGCTGCCCAAGGGTGGTGGATGTGGGGAAAGGTTGAGCGCGCCACGTTTGCCACCCCTGGACCCACAACTGATCTTTAAAATGGTAAAACTAATTAATACATTTTTCTCGATACATTTTTCTCGATATCACTATATATTTGAAAAAAGGGAAACTTAATTCTAGATTAACCATGGAGGAATTTTTTTACATCCATGTAATTTATCCCTAGGACTATTTTTCTTAGCGACATATTGACACATCTTTTAGATTATAAGCTACGGTACTATACTTCAAAAAATGACGCATACATAACACCTACACGTTTTCGAAAAGGTATATAGTACTGTATGGTGTTATAGTTTGGTAGTAGGCCTACATTATTAAATGTAAGCATTAAAATTAATCTGTGAATGACATGAATTTTTTTTAATGAGTGTGATTTGGCCTTAGTGGCGTCCACCCACGATGAGATTTGGACATTCAATACCATTCAATTTTTTTTAGAAATTATATATCGGAAGTGGGAGGAGGCATGTTATTTTGTGTTTACTTTTTTCGGAATAGATCCGCAGGACACCGAAAGCAGAGATAATCTTTAGATTAGTAAGGATTCTATGACGCGCCCTTCGGTTTTTCTTAGTAGATAGGCCTAGTCAACTTAACACTGGCCTGCTTTTACAATACTGTAGGCCTACGTATGCAATCAATGTATAATTATAGCACGACCAAGGCCATGTCATAGTACCTCAAAATTATGACACATACTAATTAATAATTGAGAAAGGAACTAATATTCCTGTACGGTGCTGTGAATTATAATCAATAATTCCGAGGATCAACGATCACTGGTAATTTATTGTGATAAAATGTTACATCACAGCTCAGACAGACCATATAGCAATGAAACGTACCATAGTATACAAGCGTTAAAAGTTTTTTTTTTGCACTTAATTTCGAAGTTTATTAAAAATTATATTCATGCATTTGTACATTAAATTCATGGCATCCTCTATCTGCTTGATATAGGCCTGATGGAATACAAAACACAAGAAATGAAAAGGAATTAATATTTTCATCCCAATATCTTAAAACATTTATTTTCAATGCCATTACAGTACTATATTTGTTTCCAGGAACCCGTCATGGTTGCCGACCCAGTGCAAGTCTGACCTAGTTATTCTATCCTCGTTGCAAGGCGTTTCGTAATCCATTAATACACTATAAAAATATTAATAGATTTATTAAATTAATTAATTGACTGGTTGGTTTATTGTTTGATTGATTTATTAATTGTTCCTTTAACTGGTTGGTTAGTTAGTTGGCTGATTGATTGATTGATTGATTGATTGATTGATTGATTGATTGATTGATTGATTAATGCAATTATGAATTATTGATCGTTTGAATGGTTGGTGTTGGTTGGTTTTTGATTGTTTGAAATTAAAGTTAAATAAGATTTTAAAAATATATTTTACATTGTGAAGTTTGTTAACTTGTCCGATTTTCCAGTTTATATTATTATTATTATCCTAACTGGAAGGGTAACTTGCTATAAACAATGTTGAATACGGCATAAAGAGAACGTCGGGCTAAACGATTGTGAATGACTTAAAAACGTTGTCATAAATATTTAGAAATACAATATACATCCAATATTGTAGTCTATAGCAATGACTTGCTAACTTAACATTCAAATAAATACAATAAATTGGAATTTGCAATACATTAGTACCATAATCTATTATCAGCCCTATCTTTAATTGCATTGATTTGGTCAAGGACACATAGACCTAAAGCATAATTTATAATTGCATGATCATTTTATAATATTTTGTATAAAAATCTTTTGTCCTATAAAAAACATTTGTACGCCATAATTAACTTGAATTTTTAACTTATTGCATGGAATCATGGTTTCCTGGAATAATACTAAACTGAACTAGGCTATTTCTTTTTTCTTATAAAAGTTTAATTATTCCCATTCTAATAGTTAATAACTTTTTTTATCCTTTTAAATTAGCAGTTTAATGCTTTAATTGAATGTTTGAAGGTTTTTTTCTTATATCAATTTATTAATGTATTTTCTGAATATGCACAATATATGTTATTTAATCAAACGTTTTCATCAATCTATTATCAATATATATATATATATATATGTATATATACTGTCTCTTATACACATCTAGATGTGTATAAGAGACAGGACCTAAAGCATAATTTATAATTGCATGATCATTTTATACTATTTAGTATAAAAATCTTTTGTCCTATAAAAAACATTTGTACGCCATAATTAACTTGAATTTTTAACTTATTGCATGGAATCATGGTTTCCTGGAATAATACTAAACTGAACTAGGCTATTTCTTTTTTCTTATAAAAGTTTAATTATTCCCATTCTAATAGTTAATAACTTTTTTTATCCTTTTAAATTAGCAGTTTAATGCTTTAATTGAATGTTTGAAGGTTTTTTTCTTATATCAAAATGTATTTTCTGAATATGCACAGTTCCGTAAACATGTAAAGCTTGGTTTCCATGCAATCGCTGCACACCATCGGCGACAGCTTTCATTGATGCAGATTGTCGGCGGTCGAATCGGGGAGCCTTCCCGATTGCGTCGGGGACTGCTAAAAGGATTGCAATGAAAACATTGTAGCGACAGTGTAGCGATTTTAAGGAAACCAGGATTAATGCAATATTTAAAGCGCTGTCCAGACTCAAATGTTATTTAATTTGAGAAAAACATGTGACATGCCTAATTATGATGACATAACATCATGACCATATAGAGGCATACCATGACTATATATGGGCATACAGTAGCTATTTGTCAAAGAACATTTGATAGTGTGGACATTTAACTCTCGGACACAACAGCGGCGTTATAAAATTTCACAAAAGACTTGAACTCCGAACAACCCTTTGCCAGGCTGAGTATTCAACTCAAAACTCAAGTACTGGCCATAAGCAGTAGTTAAAATTCATTTCCTAGAAATTGAAATATAAACGAAAGCTGTATTCAAATTTATAAGACATTTATTTGTCAGGCAATGCGATTCTTTCGATTCTCATTTCAGCACTCAATGTTCTTATTCAGTCTGCTCATTTCACAATTTTTTTTGTCCCATGATCTCGAACAAAACTTGCTACCAACGAACTTTATATTTTTGCCCTTTTCCTGTGAAATGAACTCCCCGCATCCCATTTGTAAAAACATTATTTTTCTATATTAGATGTACTTAAAGTTATTTTTAAATCATGATTATGCGTTTATCTTTATTGGAATTTCGTTATAGTTAATAATAGCAAACACTTACACAAGACAAACGTCATATATACATACAGAAGTAGTCTCAATATAGGGCTTAGGGGGTGAAATTGGTCGTTAGAAAAAAAAATCATGTAACATTTACAGAAATCCAACGCAGGATCCTGGGATTGGATGCCTAAGCATCTTACACCAAGCTACAGCCCAAATCCAGTACGATGTTTTGTCTATTTGTGGGCTTATAAGCAGTTTTGCTTTGCCTCGATTTCCCTTGAGTCAACTATTAGGGCTATAAGAAGACTTCGAGGGACAACAAGTAAACAAGTAAAAATCTGTAAAATCATAGCCATGTGACTGTTTTTTGTTGCTAAATTTATGATTGGCCGAATCTATATGTAAATGAAGCTAGCGTGACATCCCAACCAATCACATGAGAGACCACTCTGGGTGTTTCAATTTTCAATAAGCATATTATACAGATGGCTCACCAACATGAAGAAATTGGATTGTGACTACAAAGCACGTGTAGGCCTACGTCCAATGAAATCGTCTAAAAAAAGAAAGGTCATCTTAAGCTAATCATGTTTAATTAAATATATTTTTAGCATTTTAAATGGAAGATTTTCATTGTCCATGGTAATTTTTACCTTGTTCAAATCAGTTCCACCGCCGCTTGGATTTCCGGATATATTTTTTTAATAGTCTGCAGCACTAATTTCCCGTATCACAATGCAAAAAATACCTTAGACTTAAAATTATTCTTTTATCCAATCTCTTTAG